TATTCGATAAGAATAAGTAGAGCTATTGTAGTCACCCGAGTGTCGGCGTCGGCGTCGGTATCCGCGTCGGCGTAACCACTTGTGTTAAATTTTTATGTAATACCCACAAATATTTTCCAAGTCCATTGACATATGGCCTTGAGACTTTACATAGTTGTTCACCATCATGACCCCAACCTGTAGACAGGAGGAGCTAACTGAATCCAGCATTTTGACAGAATTATGCCCTTTTTTGACATAGAATTTTCTTTAAAGTTTTGTAACACCTCAAATTTTTCAAAGTCCATTGACATATGGCTTTGAAACTTTGCACACTTGTTCACCGTCATGACCCCAATCATTAAACAGGGGGAGGTAACTGTATCAAGTATTTGGCAGAATAATGCCCCTTTTTCATCTTAGAATTTACATTTAAGTTTGCATACCACCTCAGATATTTTCATATTCTATTGACATCTGGCTTTGAATCAAGTTGAAATTTATACTCTTCTTTGAAAGCATAACAGGACTCTCTCCACGGCCTATAACTGCAACATGGATTTAAAGAAAGATTTTGACCTTTTGTTAACTCAGAAAATTTTACATTTTCAAGGCTCTTTTACTATCAAGCACTAAGAATAGTCAAGCGTTGCTGTCCTACCGAAATTTTAATAGAAAGTTTATAAAAGACAACGTTTTGTTGATACGAAATATCCAAATGAACAGATTTTCAACACCTTTGGAAATAATGTAAGAAACCTCAAAACCGAGAAAAAGAACCGAAAGAAAGCTTTATAATCTAAAATACTTTTGACAAACACTTATTATCAACAAATCAATCCATCGTAAGCGATTACACAAATACTTTTTTAATATAAAAATACATGGAATTGTTAACTTTGTATCCATTTGACATAAATAATTGATAATACCGAATAAATAAATAATCTGCAGAAGGGGGCATGGCAATTAAGAACTTATAATGTGTAGGATAATGCATGGTTAAATAAAACTTAAGTATCTCAAAGTTAACGTGATATTGAAAGAACTTGCTAATGTAGATAGTTCGTTTTCAGACTCCTTTAGTTTAATTAAAAATTAGACCCGTATACCATGTCAGAAAAAGTCCTTTATTTTACTAATTTTACAATGGCCAATCAGAGTCTGAGATTTCAGATTTTAATTTTAAAATGACCAGTGAAATTTTTACATATATTCTTCCCTGTAAATTATACAAGAAGTCAAATTAATAACAGATCGGCCTTCGGCAGATTTCTATAATATAGTCATATATTGGTTACCCCATTCGGTGATACGCAGCAATCGGGATAATAATGAAAGAGAACTGGACCAGTTCCACGCCCCAATCTCGGGAGTTGATGTTTAAAACTGTGTTATGCAGTGGAGTGAATTTTGAAAATTTGAAACCGTAACGCCAAGGGAATTAACCTAACTAACATTCCAGATTTTGAAGCCATCATTTATCTTCCTTGACTGAGACACCCTAGCTACAATAGTTTTTATATAAATTATTTTAAACTTAGCATTTAAAAGTTTATTTATACACAGGACTATTGATGCCAGTTCGAAGCTTGTTCTCTTATATATTTATTAAATTACAAACATCCTTACGAGAAGCAACAACAATTGAATTGTGTTTATGTAACTTATTACATCTAAATAAATGACCCATCAAAAACTTGTCATATATATTTGTCTAGGTAACAGTAAACATTTTATTTACACAAAAATTAAAGGATTTATATTATACATCTGATGATGCTCAAATGAGGATTTTTCAATATTGTAAGTTCCAAAAAGCATTATTTGTAAAAATAATACCGAATTTACATTTAACGTAAATGTAGGGAGGTAATTAGAAATTTATTTATTTTCGATACATTCTAAATAAGAAATGAATACATATTACTTAAATTTTTCTGGATGTTTGGAAATTGTTTTGAAGTATATTATATACATATATTAAATGCCACTTTAAAGTTGTTACATACTTAATTAATTACAACATACGGGATCTTTAAACAATGAACTGAATTAATAGTATTATAGCTCCGTAAAAAATATAAGGAACATACGATATCTTATTAAATACAGGTTATGAAAATTGTCATGTATAAACAGGATTCGCCACATTATATAACATTTTATTAAAATGAGTCAAGGGCATTTTTATGAAGCGAGCCTCTGGTGAAGCCAGTAGGTAGATTTTAACTTAACATAAATTCAATAATTCAACTTCATGAATATACTTTTTCAAGTTTATGACATCGCGATTTCGATATGTGGCCATGCCACGTAACTTTTCGGGTACAGTACTGTACACGCAGAATTTTTCGCCGATTCAGGTATGTTTTTTTATCAGAAACTCTGCTGTTTTTTCTTTTACACTTGCAGTATCATTTTTGCCAAGACGTGGATTTAAATCTGAACTGCATGTATATCATTTGTCCATAAAAATACAAAATTCATGCAGGTTGACCTGTTGACATCATTTTTACTTAATTGATATTCAAAAGCGGCACACGAAAGCGCATGTGCAAATTTATGCAAATTTTTACAAGCGCAGTTTTATGAAGCACTGACAAATAGAAGGAATATTATTTGATATCGGCTTTTGTTCTTCTATGAAAATTAACACACATACTTTTGAAGAAATACAGTGTTTCAATTGGTTGACAAATAAAGTTGGACATTAAGTGTTTGACGGAAAAAGCCGAAAACGCATGAGCGGCTTCGGATTTACATCGATATTTTCCGACTTAAGGCGATATAAAGTTTACCCATTCATTAAATGTTCGTAATTTTTAATCATTGATAATTCATTTTAAGACGTAAGCAGTCAGGTGATTGATATGAGAAGTCCACAACACGAGGCAAAAGAGCAGGTGTGAAATTTGGTCAAGGGGTCATGTTTATCTTAAATATAGGAACCTGCCATTGTTAATGATAAACACAGTCATAGACATTTAACATAGAATATTGTGATGGAGTATTTAGTAGGAATTTTTGCAATATCTGCATTTGGAATTGTAACAGGTGAATAAAAAATGTTGTTTGTTCTTTTTTAAGATCTTATACGACTATGCACCATCAGCGGAGATATTTAAAATGTGTCCTAAAAGGACATCTTCAAATAACTTTTACCTTCGGTGTCCTATTTTGGCCAGTTAGCTAGTCGCTTATCTTGGGGTCGTGTGAAAGGTATTGTGACATTTACATGATTTATTGAATACTTTACTTTAACCTCTGTGAGGATGAAAGTCTGCGATGATTTTTAAAATATTTTTCTTTTTTTTTATTTTTGGCCGGTGACCAAAATCTAAAGTGAATGTGTAATTGCCTCCAAAATTTACAACTTCAAAAGTATTTTGTAAAAAACATGTTTTGGTTAATGTTGCATTTTTTAAAGTTTTCTTTTAGCACATTTCCCAAAATCCTTTGCTGGAATGATGAACCCCGGGAACGGGAAAAGCAAAAAAATCCCACGGTGCGGAACTAGAAAAAAATTCATGTGCCCGTGGTGCAGAAAAATCTGGTGCAAAGGGTTGCAGGGTGTGCAGTTGTCAAAACGGGGGTTTGACCCATTTAAACTAATGGATGAAAACTTTGTTAAGGAATAATAAAAAATTGGACGTATTTCAGTTTTAATCCAAACCCTTTTGAATGAAGCTGAGGGGCCATTTTAAAAAAAGAGCTGAGGGCATATAATCCATTTTAATTTAAAAGCTGAGTGCCATATGATCAAAGAGCTGAGTGCCATATAATTTAAAGATTTACACTAAAGCAAATATATATATAATTATATATTATATATATATATTAATATATATATATATATATATATATATATATATTATATATATATATATATATATATATATATATATATATATAATATAATATAATATATATATATATATATATAATAATATATATATATATTAATAGCAGTTTTTTTACAAAAAAAAACACTGTTAATGCAAAGAAATTATTTAATTTCAAATGTTTGCTATACAAAGGTTCTTATGGTCAGAATCGAGTGATCATGCTTAAATGCAATTATATTTTCCAACTTGAAACGTATTTTTACAACTTATAAATGAAATATTGATTAATATTGATAAAAAAAAATTAAAATTGTATTTTTTCTTTTCCGTATTTTCACCGTAAAAAAAATTTTTTACTTGCTGTGAAAGATATTTTTCGTATTTTTCAAACTGGTGTTTGCCGGGGCTACTTTTTTGTTAATTCAGCAATATCAAATTAAAAGGAATTCTTCCTTTTTATAAGGGAAAAAAGAAAAAACGTTAATAGACAGAAAAATTTAAGTTGTTTTAATTAAACAGGATTTTTTCATTTTTGGTATGAAAATAGTATTTTTTCTAACTGCCCCCTCGTAAAATATTTATTTTATACCCCTTCGATGAAATTTAAATTTTTTATTTTTTTGAAAGAAAGAATATCCTCTAAATACACCGTTTTTATTGTTATTTTTCAAAATTTTATTCAAATTGTTTATTAAATTTTAAAATAAAAATTATTCTTTCGGGGTTTGCTTTTTAGCAAAAACTCAGCGGAAATGTTTCTTCCTTTCAAGAAAAAATTTTATTTAAAATTTTGTTATAAAAACTTTTAAGCCCAAAAGTTTAGATTAAGCATATTTTAGTGTCTACACTATATACATACACAAAATTCCACAGTAATGCACAATTAAACATAAATACATTATTGTTAATATACAAAACGGTGAGGCCAAAAGTTATAACAGCATTATCTAGGGACCTCCCCGAAAGTTAAGTACATTTTCATAACTATGGTACAAATAAATTATCCGACTATAAATATGATATATATACATGTTCCCTTTAAGATTCACTATTAAAAATGTTGCGAATCGCAAAAGCAAATGCTTCCTAAAAGGTAAACATTTTGATAAAAACGCAAATAAAACTGTTTTTTAGAAAACTACAGGTTAGGGTTAGTACCTTTAACTTCCAGGTATGCGACCAATGGGTGGTATTAATCCAATGAGCGGGGGAATAAATCCAATGAGTGGGGGAATGAATCCAATGAGCGGGGGAATGAATCCAATGGGAATGAACCCCATGAATCAAATGTCACAGATGTTTCCTGGTTTAACAGGGGGAAGTTCCCCAATGACTGGAAATGTCCAAAAACAAGGACAAACAGCTTGCTCTCCCGCACCAACTACATGCCCGGTTCCCCAGCCTTGGTGTGAGCGGATTGCAGACGGTAATGGATGTATAAAATGTCTGTGTGGTAAAGGTCAGTATAATTGTTAAGTATTAATTAAAAAAAGTAAAGTCATTCGAATTTGAATATCTTGTTAATTTTCGATCATTTTTTTTCCGTTACATTCCGTATCATGAAAACATTAGATCATGTAAGTCTTTTTCTAAGTCATCGTGAACTGTCGTGCATTTTCGCTACTTTCCGTAATGTCGTAGACTGTCGGCCATTTCCGTTATTTTCTATATCTAAAACATTGCGTAAGCAGGATGAGTAACGAACCAAAACCTGTTACTGTTTAAGCAAGAATCAATGAGTGACGTATAATTTTTATATGTGGAGAGCATTCCTTGAGTACTAAGATCCGGATGACAAACATTTATTCTATTATCTAAATACCTTATACAAAGCAGATCTTATATATATGTTGAATTATTTTGTTTTATAACTTCTAAAATACAAGTCTATTCGATAAACTTGATATCGCATTTGCCTGTGTTACAGAATTGGTAGCATACGTACAAGGCCTGAATGGTCAAACAACACAATCCGTTCAGAAAACATTGGTCACAAGCACGTCAACTACGATTGCACCAATCAAATCAACGGTAACAGTTACGCATGCGCCTAAACCAACCAATAGAATTCAGTCTTGCTTGGAGACGTTCTATTGCACTAAGATATGTGATTATGGTTACCGCACGGACTCAGACAGTTGTCCGCTGTGTGAATGTTTAGATAACACAATGGTAGATTTGCCCGGTAGGTAAATGACATTTTCTTTAATGTTTTGTTTGCTATTGTCGCAAAAAGCGTTAAAGGGTTGAGCGGTGCCCAAGTGGTCATGGAACATCCACTTTCTCTAGGGTTTAGAGTATCGAGCCTTTCGGGTCACATCCATGTACCAATATCGGAAATATCAAGAAAGCGGTTACAAATGTGATAGACATAAGGTGCAAGAGTTTGTTTAATAATTGAGATCACATATATACTTTAACAAAACTGATAACAAAATCATCTTATAATAAGAAATGAGGTACTATGAAGATGCTTTTACATGATTCTCCTTCAAAAATCAATCTTTAAGTCCACAATTAAGTAGTGTTAGAGAAATTTAAGCCCGTTCTTAATTTTCAATTAATTTTTTTTTCTATTAAACTATATTAAACATTTTTATTAAAGCAGCATGCCTTTATCAATCATGCTTATATTCTTAAAAAAAAATGTAAATGTATTTAAAAGGAAACTTTTGGGAAATGATAACAGAAAAAAGTTACATTTAGCGAATGGAAGTTATAGCCCAAGTAAACAAAAAAGAGGTCAAATATGCAAAATTTAGTCACGCCGTAATAAATTCCGCTAAATCAGGCATCAATCGCACAATATATGAAAAGTATTACTTTTATCTTTAACCTTTTTTTCTTTTCATCTAGAACATTTTTGTCAAGTTTGAATTTTTTAGAATATTTTGGCTCATGTGGAGTCATGCAGCCTTAAACTTTTTTTTCTAACAACCTTTTTTCTATGATTTCTACGAGATGTTCGGCATTATTTTTAAATCATGTTCCTGTATACACTATCTTTTTCTCCTTTTTTACAGTTGATGCAACTGATCCTCCTGGAAAGTTCACTTTAACTCCTCCTACAACAAGTAGCGCACCAATCGTGACTGACCACGTGACCTCTTGTCCGGGAATTTTCGACTGCGCAATAATTTGTAATAACGGATACAAAACTGACGCTCTGGGTTGTCCTGTTTGTTCTTGTGAAAATTGATAGTTTAAAATAGATGCTACTGTAAATTTATCTTCTCATTATTCCCTTAAATGATGTCAGTCTGTAAAAATATGCATTTCTTCTTGGACATAATGGGTCTTTAAGAACGAGGTAAAAGTATTTCCATTAAAAGGGTCATCTCCTTATTTTATGTTTACTACTACTACTACTACTACTACAATCTACCAACAAGAAAAGCATTGATGCAAAGCATCAAAGGGCGACGCCAAAAGAATTTGATCCAGATTTGCACCTAAATACTTAACAAAAGATGTGTACTTTATAGCAGTACCATTACATGTGACCTGGACTCTGTAGGCCCCAGGTTTAAGTTTGAAACTTCATCCAAAAAAAGAATAGACCAAAAAAGAATAAACTCTGTCTTGCCCAAGATGCAAAGACAATTTATAGTCAATTAACCAATTTTATAAGACTCATACATATAATAAGAAAGTTTTTTTTTCAGATTTATTTTTACCGGACACATTTTAGGATTCCTGAGTCCATCAGGCATATAATCCACAGGCTAAGTATCGGACCCGGGAAGAAAAAATATGACCAAATTGAGAAAAACAAACATAAAAACCAACCACAAAAAAAATGTAAATAATGGACCCCCTTAAAAATATTACTTAGAAATAATTAAGCCCGTAAAGGATATTTTTTTAAAGGGAGTCATTAGTTTACATTTTTTTTGCGGTTTTTGACCACTTTAAGATGAACACAGGTTTTTTATCAATTCCTGGTCAATATTTTTCCTTCCCAAAGGTCTGATACTCGCCCCCCTGCCTGTGCATATTAACCCACTTGTTATAATAAAAAGCTTATTGGCTTAGGGTTGCAGACATGTCATTGATATGTTTTGGATAAAAAAAGAGGCCCAAAAAATGAACATAAAAGGGAAAACCATGGGTTTATTTCAAAAACAGTAGTAAAAAGGGAGTACCGGGGCCAAACATCCACCGGGCTGCTGTCAAATAAAGAGATAAGTTTTTAAAATCATTTTAAAAATTTGCATTACAAAAATTGGCTGATGCTTGAATTTTTCATGAAGAAGAAAAAAAAATTTTCTTAAATGGCAGTATATTTGTGATCAACGCATAAAATGTTTTTTGGGGTAGATCAAAAAAGTATCATGTAATACTCCTTTGCCCTTTTTCAAATTTAATCAATCTTTTTAAATGTTTTAAAAACATGTGTCAGTTGAAAAACATTTTAAAAACCCTGATAAAAAACTGCCTGCCCAGGGACTTGAAACAATGACTTTAAAGAAGCCCAAAAACTGAAGCTATCGGTCGGCTACACATTTTTTCTTTAATAATGAAAACAGTTCTAAACCACAAACCATATTTCCTACCTCACTATATTTTTGCATTTGTGTCCCTTGAAAATTATCTGGTGTATTACAGAGCATATGTGAATTGAACTTCATCTTATATTGCAGTCACATTTGATGAGGAAAAACTTTCAGCTTAACAGAAAACTCGAACCTGTGACCCACAGAAATAATGAAATCGCAGCTGTAGCGATTTAAAGCTTTTTCTGGGCCCGTTTACACTTTTTCTCCCCTAATAGGGAACAATTCTAAACCGTGACAGATACTTTTAGATTTTTAAATTAACAGATAATTAAAATTATTAAAATTAAAATAAATTAAGGGAAAAAAAAACCCTTTTAAAAAAACCACAATTACTATTAGTCTCTAATATTAAAAATTAAACAAAATATTTTACATTTTGTATAATATTTTTTACTAAAAAGGTTTAGACAGTTTTTGGGTTGTCCATTATTTAAAAAAAGGTCTTTTGGGAAAGTGAAGAAAAACTTTTGCTAAAAACATGAACAATATCTTTTTTGTACAGAAAAAAAACTTTTCCTTTTTTCAAATATAAAAATTTTTTTAAAATAAAGGGCTGTTTTTGTATTTTGCATAAAGGGCCCCCCGGCCCAAAAAACTTGAAAATCCCAACAAACGAACCAGTTTGGGGGGGGGAATTGTTTTTTTTCATGTTTGCCCCCAAAGTATTTTTTGTATTTTTGGTTTTTCATGTGGCAAAAAAATTTTTTTTGGGGGCCCCATTTAAAAATTTTATGCACAAATCTTTTCCCCAAGGGCCCAAGTAACCCAAATCTTATTTCTATGAAAAAGGGGGCTTTTGGGGGTTTTGGGTTTTTTGGACTTCGGGGAAAGGACCTGGGGGTTGAGACCGGTTTTTCCCTCCTTTTAAAAAAGAAAAGAAAATTTGTCTTTTTAAAACTGTTTTGCAATTTTAAAAAAAAAATTAAAATCACTATTCAAAAAAAGGTTTTTTTTAGATTTTATTAATTATTTTGTTTGGTCCAATTTTTAAGGGGACTTTTTCAACCCTTTAACACATATTTTTCATTTAATTTTAAATGAAAGCCTCACCCCTTTTTTAAAAAAATAATGACATAAATGAAATTCTTTAAATTCAAAAAATATTATAAGTCCATCATTTTCCCAAATTAAAAATTTTTTAAAAGATATACATTTTATGCACTTTAAACAAAAAAATTTTCCCCATTTTCTTTTTAAAAAAATTTATGAAATTTCAAACCCTTTAAACCCAAAAACCCAAAAGAAAAACCCAAAAACGGGAAAAATTTTAATGAAATTTTGGGAAAGGCCCTCATTTTTAAATTAAGGGCCCATCAAATTAAGGGTTTAAAGGGTTTTCCTTTAAAAGAATAAAATGGCCATTGACAAAAAAAATTTGCAAAAATGGGATAGTTTTCAACATCCGGTTTCTGGTAAAACTGTGAAAAAAAAACCCCATTTTTGCGAAACGATAAACGTTTTAAAGGAAAAAAACAATAGGATAATCTTTTTACAACATTTCCATTACATATCCTTATCTCTTTTTACGGGGTAAACTTTCTTCTTGTGGGAAAAATTTTTTGAAAATTAAAATTAAAAATTTTGAATAAAAGGGAAAATAGGGCATAATTTTAGCCCCACAACGAAAAAAATTCAAAAACCCGGGGGGGTTTTAGTTTGTAAAAAAACAAAGGGGAAAACGGGTTTAAAATTTAAAACCTGAAAATTTCTTTAAAAAATGATGGGCACAATGCACATGTTTTTTTTAACCTAAAATTAAAATAAAAAATAAAAATATTTTTTATTGATTTTTACGAAATCAAAATAAAATTTAATTAACAAAAACATAAATTTAATGCTAATAAAACGGGCCCCTTTCCCAAAGGGCCAAAAAAAAAAGCACCCATAAAAGACGCCCCGCCCCCTCGGGGGGCGTCGCCAAAAATGTACTACTTCCATTTACCAACATGTACAAACTACTATCAAACCAACTTTGTACTCCCTATTTAAAAACAATTATGTTATACTACTATCTACCACCATGTATACTACTATTTTAACCAGGAAAAACCCCATCATGAAACTATACTTTTCTCCCAACATGTATTTCTACTATTCTCCCCAAAACATGTACTACTATATCTCCAACATGTATTACTACTACTATTTTACCATATTTACTACTACATTTTACCATCATGAAAGGCTACTATCTACCATCTTTGGACTACTACTACAAAACCTTTTTCATGTACGACTAAAATTCTACCATAAATGTACTACTACCTATTACCTTTTCCATGTAACTACTACTTATCTACCATCATGTACAAACTCTATTACTATAAATAAACTACTACAAATTTTACCTTTAAATTCTATTTACTATCTACCCCCAAATGTACTAATACTATTACCACCTTTTTAACTACTATATCTCCCAAAAAATTTTACTACTTCTATCTACCATCTTTAAATTTTTAAACTACTATCTACCACCAGTACTAACTACAAATTTTACAATAGTAACTCCCACATCAAACCAATAAAATTACTACTACTATCTACCATCATGAACTACACTATCTCCCTTTCATGTACTATAATATTTTTACCATCATGAAACTACTATATCAACCCAATCAGGGTTTTTAACACCATTCCCATTATTTTTAAATACTATTTTCCCAACCCAAACCATGTTCATTTACCTTTTTCTACCACAGGGGTTAACTACTACAAAATCTACCATCATTACTTACTATCTACCTTTCATATACTATTTACATTACCACCATGTACTTTACTATCCCCAAATCTTTGTACTTCACTATCTCCCCATGTCCCTCCTACTATTCCACCATGTACTTTTAAACCAAATCTACCATAAAATTTTTAAACCCCAAAAATTTTCTTTTTTACCACCATGACTTTTTTCCCTTATTTTTACCACCCATGTACTAATTTTACTATTTTTTTCCCTAAATTATATTTTACTTTTTCAAAACCACCATGAAACTATTACAAAATTCTACCTTTAAAATGAAAAACAAATTTTTATTTTCTACCACCATGTACTATTTAAAAAAATCAAACCCCCTTTTGTACTTTTTACTATCAAACCACCATGTACAAATTACTTTTTCTACCTTTCCATGTACTTTTACTATCTTACCACCATGTCTAAAAAAACCTATTTTACCACCATTTTTTATACTATCTCCCAAATTATTTTACAAAACTACAAATCTCCCACCAGTACTTTTTAACTATCTCCCCATCATGAAACTAAACTATCAAACCACCATGTACAAATTAAACAAATTTTACCATCATGTATACAAACTATCTACCACCATGTATTTATTTTAATATCTACCTTTCATGTACATTTAACTATCTCCCCAACCCCAGGGACTATTATATCTACCATAAATGTATTTAACTACTATCTACCATTATGTACTATTACAAATCTACCATTCATTTTACTACTACTATCTACCACCATTTTACTACTCTATCACCATCATGTATACTACATTTTTAACCTTTCATGTACAAATTACTACAAACCCCCATGTACTTTTACTATTTTACCATCATGTACTTTTACTATTTTTACCATCATGTACTACAAAATACTCCCCACCATGTACTACTACAAACCCTCCCTTTTTCATGTATTTAT